TGGATTTTCGCTGGAAATATTGTTCCAAATTGGAGATAGTACTAAAGTGATGATAATGACTTATTAAGAACACATATTTGCAATATTTTTAGGGAGATTATGGTAAAAATGTCAGCAAATGATAAATGTCTCTCGTTCGTTTTGTAATCTCTTAAATCAATAGATGTTGTATTTGTCATAAAATTACGTATTAGGACATAAAATTACATAAAAGATATTAGAATATTTCTTATTGCACTCATCAGTTGAAAAATATAATTTGACTCCCAAACGTGTTTTCTTAAAAGTGATGTATTTTTCACAGGCTTTGTTAGCATTTAGGAATTTGAAATTTCCATGATTATATTTTATAAAACGCATAAAGGAATAAATCTAGAGTCTAGAATAATTAAAAGAGCGTTGGATCCTGCAGACGATGTCAATAGAGGGCGTCATTAGTAGTAGCATGTTCCTTAGTCCTTTAAACGTCGCATCCTTTCACAGATCTTGTCGCGGTGTTTTCGCACATTAACTTATCTTTATACCGCTTGTTTGAGTAATATAGGCGGGTGATTTCAATTTATGGTACAATTTAAACTAAATAGGCGTCGGTTTTTCGAAACGAGGACATTGAGTAGTAGAACAATACTTCGTATACGTTTTTATAGGTCTGTAATAGAAACGTGTTCTACCAAAGTATATTCCGTGTCTGGCGATTAATTTTTTAGACTTCTTCCAGTATAAGCCTTTTTATCTAATACAAAACTGTCTGAAAATCTTACTGTAGGAAACCTAAATAAATGCAAAATATCAATATAAATCGTGATAGTTAGTTTATTGCAGACTTTCAATATAATAATTTTTTTTAGTAAATTAAATTGTTTGATAGGCCTCCTTAAAATAATTTTATCATTAAATTATAATTTAAATGATTGCTTAGTGAGGATACATGGACCTGTTGGACTTTTAATATTACGTATTTCATTGTAATTGGACAGAAGTCCCAAATGAAGCTCTGAAATAACAACACACACAAATACATGGCATATTGACAGCTACAATACATACGTCTTGGATGAAAATAACCTGTTATTTGAATTGCGTAAGCATTAATTACCAAATTTAGCACTGAAGAATAAGAAGTTCTCATTTTGATAATTAAATAAGTTACAAAACCATAAATAAGTTAATTTACATTAAATAATGTTCATTATTCGATATTGAGTGAACCTGTCACCTTAAATGGGACATTTTAAAAACCTGCAAGGTATTACTTTCGGGTTGCAGAAACATGTAAATCCTCCGGAACAAGACAGCTACATGGGTTTGAGGTGAGCTTTAGACGAGAACGCTGTTTAATAAGGGATCAACTCGGTCAGTCGCTGGCGCAGGCGAGGAGCTAGGGAAGCGTTACATTATGAATGTAGCCCAACAGGATACAAAGGTCCTTTAATTGTTTGCCTGCGGACAGTCCAGCAACACACGTCATTCGCCTACAACCTTTACGTCAACTTGGGAAAATAATCTATTCATTTCCTTTCGTTAACTAATACCTTAAAACCCTTTAATTTACAACAGACGGACAAATTGTAAAACGGCTGAATTGATACAAAATAACTGTATAAACTTTGGACCGCTAAAATATTACTTATTGATTAATTTTGTCTTAGTAAACAAAAATTACGTTTTACATCCCCATTTGACTTGAACAGATCGCTTAAAATTTTATGATTTAAGTTATTGTAACGTGTTTTAATTATCTTGGTTGTTGAACGTTTTGATTTCAGTTAGAATGGTGAAGTCACCTAAAAACAATCTTTGTTTAGCAGGTGTTAAAACTCAACCCTCTCAAAGTGCCTTAATATAGCCTACAATAAGACATTATTAACGCAATTTTTTTTCTATTAAAATTTTTAATCTGCAGTGGGGAATAACGTCTTAAAATACTTTCAAAATAAAAGAACTTTTGGGACCTATAGTTACTCAAAGTATGTACAAATACAGTACTGTATTTCAAATGATAAAATATTCTGCTTGGATTTGAAAATATATAGGTGCTCAACATTTTCAAAACTACATCATTTTATGTTAAATTATTTCTTATGGGAAATTATGTGAAATTTGTTCTAAACACCAAATAAATATTAATAGCTTGTCTTTCTAAATACACAATAAAGACAGTGGTATAGAGAAGGTCTATAGGTTGTGTATGGGATGTGTACAGTCAATGTGTATAGCAAAGAGTGTGTGGGGAGTTGATGTGGGGTAGAGTATAGTGGGGGGTGAAGAGAAATAAAGTTTTAGTGCCTAGGGACAGTGGTCGGCAGTAGCAGATAACCTATTGTGTATTGTTGTATTGTGTTGCTGATTTGCCGATGAACCAAGCATTGTTGAGCATGATTTGCAAGAAACTACATAGTAAACAATCATTAACCATAACGACATTAAAGGATTAAAATTGCGTTCTATGTTTGCCTGATGTGTAAAACTGAAAAATACAAGTATTTTAGAAATAGAATTGGGTACTTTTATCAGTTAGTTGTAAAAAAGGTTGAATTTACAACTTTAATTCGGCTAACCAACTGCTAAATGATGGTCAAGATTAATGTTGACTGGAAATCTTCTTGAATTGTGATTTAACACTTCACACTTTACAAAATTCTACTGAAGTGATATTATGGATGTATTTGTTAATAGAGTTTAGTGAATATGTCATATGTTTCCAGATGGATAACTGTTTAAAACTAAAAAGTTGTATCAATATGAAATTTTATGTATGCTCAATTTAGCACTTTTGAGCTCATAGATGGCTTTATAGCTATCAACAACTAGATTTTGGCTTAAGCTAGTTATACTGAATATTATTTTTGCTATGCCATTAGAAACATAAAAATTAAAAGCAATTTGTTGAGACTTTCTTATTATAATAAATATTGTAATTTTTAGATTTATATGCATTTTAATCATAGACATTGTATTGCGAGTGCAAAAAGAAGCATGCTGATAGCTTCTTTAGCTCAAGGATGAACGTTTGACGTGATTAACCTTTCTAAATACTCGCTTTTAGTCGGATTTGAACTTGAACCCATGGATCAAACATTCATTCTACCTTTAAAGAGGTCTTGTGTGCAACAGTTATATACTCTAAAATAAGCATCTTGAGTTCAGCTGCAGAAATAATATGCCTGTTATAGGAGAATGTTCACTTTTAAACTTTGCATTTCTTAGTAGAGTACATTACATATTTATTTTTTATGCACTATGAAGTTTCCTGAACTTGCTGCAGTTTATACATAATTCTTTAAAAACTAGTTTTAAATCACAGAATTAAATTTTAAATCGAATATAGAATATATTTTTAATAGCATTTAACCAAAGTTTAACGGATTAAATTGAAAGTGAACTCAAATTAATTGTATTAAAGGTTTTTTGCACGTACTAATACAAGACTAACAAATATCATAATGAAATTAGGTAATTAACACAGTAAATATATTTGAGAAAAAATAAGACTGTCGCTCAACTGTAACGTAATTTCTTAAAAATAAGTGTAATAATGCTTTACGTAATTTCCAATCTTTAAAAGCTTGGTTATGGTTTATCACAGAACATTATTTATACATTTATTACAAACTAAAGAATCAAATTATCAGAGTGCACGAAGTTGGTGCACTGCATTATACTACAAATAAAAAAATAGGTGTTTAAATACAGTACCTAAAATAATATTCTGATTGCAATACTTCCAATAACATGGATATGGTAAACTAAGCTATAAACTTAATCTCTTACTGTCTATCTAATAAACACATTAGTAATGGATATAAAAATGAACTACACATTTTAACCACGAGCTGTGAATCAACATTACGTTTTGAGCCTCTGTATCCACCTACATTAATAACAATGACCCCGCTAATGCAAACACACTTCTTAAATGTATGGAATATAATAAACAACCTAAACAACCTAGTTTTAACCAAGAGCAAATTCAACTTAAAAACAAAATTTCCAATTTCTTTATCTTCGTAACGTACATAATTAATTAGTTGGCTATTAATACTGAAGTAGACATTTCATATAGTTAAAGTAGAACAGGTGTGCTAAAATCATCATAGTTTTTCCCACTCTAGCAATAAAATAAGAGTAAACTTACCGAACTGCCAAATTAGTGTGCTTCTGTTAAAATTTAACTATTTTTCACACTTTTTCAATGTTGTAAATTGGAGTATAACTTTTTTATGTGACACCCCACAATTTTTTGCTCCCCCTTGAAAAATCTAAACCTCTGATGGAAGCACACAGTCGATTAAGCACACTATGACGTTATAGTGCTGCACAGCCTATGGTGAACCAAAGTTTGGGTCCGTGTCCTTAGCCGGACAATGTTCCGAAGACTTGGTCCTAGAAAAGCCTCAGTCCGGTTGGGTTTCAACTCCCCGGACTGAAACATCACGAAACTAACCAACCGGTGCAACGTCCAGTACTAAATAATAATTACTGCCTTACTACGATATTAAAGGTATCAGGGAGCTCAATAACGCCAAGTAATTTACTGTAGATAAATATAAATGCGATACTGTTGTTTATCTAATGGTTTATTCGGTACTTTGGTATTATACCAACCACACCTAATAATTATAACCTAACCTAACATAAGGGTTGAGTATGTTTTAGGTAAGGTTGGTTAGGTTAGGTTATGAAGATGTTGCTATAAAACTAATTATAATCTTGTTTGGAAGTCGATTTATCGGTGTGGTCGGTATAATACCAAAGTACCATTTATTCTGTTACAATATCCGGCCTAATTATAAGGACACGGACTCAACATTCACAATAGGCTGCCCAGAACTATACTCATGTGATTCTCTACAGATCACAAACTCCAAACTTCAGTATTCATAACCATCGCACAATTTTGCCTGCTTATTGCCTGGCTTTCAGTAGAGAGGCCGGCATGCTTGCCAACCTTTGTCCCCAATTTCCCGTATCTGTGGGAATGACTCGTCTCTATGTTGCAGGACTGGCGGGGGTAGTATGCTGGGGGACGTCAACATCTCCGCCATCTTGGACTCCTTCAGTGTCTCTTATGACAAACGAGTAAGGCCCAACTATGGCGGTAAGTACTCTGGCTTTCTAACGGAGCTTATAGCGTAGTGTAGGTGTGAGTGACCACTTTCCCAACGTACATTTCAAAAACATTTTACAAGTTGATGATATATAAATAATGCAAAGAAGTTGGTGAATGTTTTTCCAGATGAGATTTTTGAGTTTTCCATGTTAAGTCCGATTATTAAAGCTTTTTGTGAGCCATTACGAAATAGTTGCGAGATGGACTTAAATCGATGACAGTGATGTCATGGGTTCGAATCCTGGTGCCCGCAACTAAATCTTCTGTAAAGGATTACTTCTTCCTTTGTTGGATTAGTTCTCGGCCCGGGGCCTATGTAGAAGGACAACTGCAGGGGTAAGGAGGCGGTCAGCCTATTTTATTCAAAAACTTTTTTGATTCTGTCTACTTTTCATGGTATACGCGGGTAATTCCTGTGGCTAAAATAGTTTCTTGTGACATAAAAATGTTTTTTTAATTGAACTGAGCTGAATTGAGAAAAATTAAGTCATATGTACAACCCATCTTCACTGGGTGTACTATATGACCTGATTAGGGCCTCCTTTATAACAAATCGCCTCCAACCCAACTAGTTCAGTGCATGACAGGACTACTTGGAAGCACGTATGTAAATTCCGATTACTGTTAAGAGATTTGAGTGAAATATAGTTCGTCAGATAAAGCAAAACAAATTCAAACATTACAAAATTTAAAATAAAAAAAACCAAATGAATGTACAGTAATAGTCTTAATACAGGTTAGTAACAGTTACAACACATAAAAAACGTACCCAAATAACTCAAAACTACGGGAATTTATGCAACGACGAAAGGTTTTATAGTACATCATCGGTGATAAGCAGCTGTCAAAGATTTCTATCAGGCAATTTTCCTAAAATTGTTTGTGCTGGTAAATAAATATTTAAGTGGGAACAGCTGATCGTATGAACATAAACTATAGCCAGCTGTTTCACACAAGGTGATTTACAGTGTTGGGTATTGATTGCCGTAGCTCATCTAAGCATTAAAACGCTGACACCACTGAATCACGGAACACTATTAGGTAATAAGCCATGAATCTGCCTACTTATCCGCACGAAGAGTTATGATAGGCGTCGAGAAATTGTCTTTGAAATTGTCATTAGACTTGCTAGCTGATGTGTTCTGTGTAAATATAATTTCTAAATTATTGTTACAGTATGTTTTTATTCCGAAGGGTGTAAAAAACTGATAATACTGATCATTTAAACAATCAAAACAAAACACTACGACTAACAATAAACTATCAGTCATTTGATTTTCCTTCTTCTTTAGTCACTCACATACTTCTGATTTGACCCTTGTGTATTTTTAAATTAGATTTATCGCCTTAGATAAATTAAAACATCTAATGGCAAAAATAAGGTTGATATATTATCCTAGTGGAAACCGTATAGTCTTATATACTAGAAAATAACAAGTTATTTTTTCAGAAGAGGGCCACCACCTTTTAAACTGTGGAATAACCACATTTTAGGTTGGGTTGGGTTAGGTTAGGTTATTTTATAGCTTTACTCACACGTTTTTTTTTATTTATTGAACGGGAATAATCCCAAAAATCACCTAACCTAAACTGTGACTTTTCCACAGTATTGTGGCAGCCATCTTCTGAAAAAGACCCAAATGACGAATCGCCAGGACGAATCAAGAAGTAACTCGTCCAAACTGTTGAAAATGAATTGGCAATACGGATCAACTTTCATTATTAGACATCAGATACGAGAGTTAGCAGTTTAGAAGGCTCGGTATCTTGATGCTTAACATGAGATTTCCCATGGGCCTGGAGTAACAGTGATATGTTGAATTGGTTCATCTTGTACACTGAATCCCTCTGCGTTCCTACATGGAACACGCGCTTGATAAGCCCCTCTGATAAGCAAGTTCGAAAATTTAACGGACAAGATTGAGTTCAGTAAAATATTACATTTGATTGGTAGAATCGGTTCTAAAACTGATTTTGTAAATTTTACAATGTCATGCTATTTTTGTAAATTTGGTTCCAATCAAATTGAATACTAGTTGTACGGATTTTAGTGAAGGAAGTTCTTGAATGAGGAAGCTCTCCTAACCTGAAAGGACCATTATTTTTGTTTTCTAGGCCGTTTTTTGTCCAGCCTTCACATCCTAGAACACTAGGCTCACCGGAACCATTTTGCTCATTACTTCAGGCTATCCCTAGAGGGTTGTGGCATTATCACTTAGATAAAAAAAATGCGATTGGCAGGATTAGAACCCTGGTCCTCGGGCACCAAAGTCCAGCACTTAACGTGCTTAAAGAGCTTATGGCTGATTCCGAATCACAGGGTCACGGCATTATCATATTGTTAAAAGCCATTGGTGAATGATATAGCTTGAACCCCGCCCCTCAGGACAGGAGTTTTGCACTCTAACCACAGTCTTACGGATACCAAGGACTAAGGATGATTTTCCATAACGCTCCCTACTACTGTAAATTTCCAAACCCGTTTATTTGCTAGTCATTAAAACTAGATGAAATTCAGTTTTCTGCACATTCACACACACATTAATCCAGTCATGCAGTCACTGTTCCGTCACAGACCAGTCACAGATCAGTCTCAGTTGCATCCGCAATTCCTCAGTAAACTGTCCGTCAGCAGTCTTCCGTCACTTTATTTAAAGTGATCAATTTAAACAGTCGAGAATTGTTTTACTAAAACACATTATTCTATCAATTTTTACCTATATTCCATATTGATGATTATTACGATTGGTACTTAAAATATAAAAAACAATTATTTAAATAACGAAAACACTATTTTTATGTCAAACGCACACATCTCACGACCGTAAGAAGTCCGGACGATCACAAAATATTGGGAAGAAATCTTAAATTGACTGACAGACTGCACTGGATGAGTTACAGTAGTGCAAAAAACAATACATTAAAGAACACATTTTTTACTGAGACGTGACTTATGTGACTGAAGTGTGACGTGCCGGAACTGATATGTGTGAATAGATCATTAAGAATATAAAAAATCAAATCCACATTTTTTTCTGATGGCTTCGGTTTAGGACTGAGTTAAAAGTTTCCTTCTCATAATAATGTTAAACTTAAATCGTAAACTTATAATATCAATGAGTTCTGTATTAACTTTGGCACTAATTTCAATCCCTACCTGGTACAAAATTGTTTTAAAAGACTGACATAAATTATGTGACTCTTTAAAAATTTTAAAATATTGTGACAACATAAAAATAACCCTGGTGGTAGACGAGTTATTTGCGGCCAAAATCGGTCGCCTCTAAAATTCAGATTATGCAAACACACATTCCTTCGCGTACCAAACTGATTAATTTTACGTGTCAACATTTTAGTGCACAACGTAAACAATCGCTAGTAGTGGTAAAATGTTCGACAGTAAACATGCAAACTGTAAAAGCGTTGAGGGAAATATTGTGAGCGGCGAGCGGAGAGTTAAAGTTGCACAGTCGAGTTGCAGTGATGAGTTTCATCCGCTAATCGCCTCTCAGATTTCCTCTTCCGTTCTTCCCTCTTATTTTCCCTCCATTTTTATCTTTGCTCCACTCATTGGGCCAATCAGGTTTTCTGCATTGTTAAAAGTTTATTCTCCTTCACTTATTCCCCTTGTAAACTTATCTGTGTGCCGCTTTCCTTTTGCGTTTTCTTTGAGATGTAAAATTAGCGTTTAGTGAATTTGGATTTAATTTTTAATTTTGTCAAATGAAATCAACGTGGAATTAAATATGATTGCAGCAGATAGTATAATGAGTATTGCAAATATTTTGAAATATGGAACCGATATATTTTATATTGATTTTGTTATTAAATTGGAAATTTTAGCTTAGCTATGACTCACGAGCAATGAAAAATATTGCAAAGTTTGATTCAGCTCTTAACAGCCCACCAGTTGATACTTTTCTATAGGGAGAGCGAGTTGGTATAGTGGCAGAGCTCGGGGCTTCGGAACCCAAGGTCCCGGGTTCAAATCCCGCCAATCATCAATAGATTTTATCAATGTGATAATGCCGTGACCCTTTGAATAGCCTGGAGTAATGTGTAAAACAGTTCTTCACTAAAACCTAGCGTCCTAGGATGTAAAGGTGGGACATATAAAACCCTCGGGTTTGAACTTGGTTTCTCCTTCAAATCTGGATGCTGCGGGTTCGAAACCTGCACCTAGCTGCATTTTAGCGTTCGGACCATCAAATTCATGATACTCTTACAAAATATCAGCAAGAACTGTTAGGACCTTTCTCTTACAGAAAAAAATACCACCGGCGTTCTCACACGTAAAAAAACGTTCAAATATGTTGTACAACCAACTTCTCCATTCAACTCAGATTCAACACGTCCACGATTTCGACAACCCCTTCTTGTAGACACATTGAAGGGTGTGAGAATCAACAAGGCCTCTCGACTCTAGCACCAAGGTCTTGGACAGTCTCGTCGATAAAGACTTGACGAAAGACACTTACTGTCAACACGTTGAGCGTTGAGGCCGGTTGTATCGCTGTAGTTACCGCCGCACTCGATGTCACGTGAATAATAAATACAATAATGAGACTCAGCGCTGCCAACCGACCTTGCGTTGGGGACTCTAATGGTCTTTGTCGGTTTCCGTGCAAATGGTAATTCTGTCATTTGTAAAGGTAATCATTGCTCGATAAAAACTGTTTCCCAACATTCGCAGCGGATGTTTGTGTTTTGTGATTTCGTGACCGGCGACACGAGTACAATGATTTGATCGATTGGGAGTTCATAGTTCAGTACATGTTAGATTATAAAATGCATACACACTCATCGTAATCATTATTTAAAAATCTAATTTATGTTTGTATTATTTTTTAAAATAATTGAAGGAATGTATACAGATTTTATTTTAGCATAACAAATACATAATGATATATATGTGCATTACACCTTGGACTGTAACAAAATAATCGACAGAAAAACGACCCTTTTGAATTTGAGTCATAATCTAAGGC